TTTTTTTTTGTGCGTATGCAATTACGCATACCCTTGAGCCACCCCACATATATATATATATATATATAACGTCATCCCATGCGTCCCCCTTTTTCTTCCAGAATTTGCCCGAAGTTGGTATGAACGGATATTTCCTCAACAAAAAATTAATAAATAACAACGACAAAGGGAATAACAACGGCACCAATTTTGAGGATAAGGTAGCCCAGATTTCCATCAGCATGCCAAAGACCCCACCAGAAATGAAAAAGGACAACAGAACGAAAAGTGGTTATAACGCAAATGAATACCTTCAGAGTATGCTAGATGCAGAGGGACAGGAATTGAATCAAGACCACATGATACACGAGCATGGAGGTCAACTGAATGGGAATAACAATTTAGGGCAGGCAAATGGACAACAGATCGTTGGAGATGAACAGGGGGTTGACCCCGCAAATGGAGAAGGCACCAATGATTGTGGCACAGTAGATAATGCGGGAGGAGAATCCCATGAGCATCAACTCGCAGAAGACACATGCACGAATGAGACAAATGAAAAGGGAACCCTCGATTACAATTGTTTCAACATTGTAGTTAACCCGGACGGTGTAGCAGGGGCAGAACAGGAGCAAGGGGCCATAAACCCATCGGAGGCTAATTAAAAAAATGCCACCATTGCTTGTCTTCTCTTTTTGTGTTTCCTCGCAGTTTGCAGCGCGCGTGGTGTCTTTCGGGAGAGACGTCCGCCGCGCGCATCACAACTTATTATTTATTATTTACGCGCACAATTCTTAACCGGAAAAAAAAAAAAAAAAAAAAAAAAAAACTATATGTTTTTCACCCATCGCATGTGCAATTTTTTTTTTTTTTTTTTTTTTTCCTCTTTTTAATTAGCCCACCCCTCATTTACCGTCACTATCTTCAGCTTTTTTTCTTTTCTGCCCTCTCCCCAATCCTATTACCAGCTTTTAATCCATCACCTATGTACATAGTGAATTATGAATCATGAGTTATGAATTAAGAGTTATGAGTTATGTGTAAATATATACATACACACGTATGTATATAAAATTTTTTTTTTTTTTTTGCCGATTAATTTTGCAATGTTGTATTGTAATTATGTTGTATTTACTTGGTTGTTTTTTTTTTCTTTTTTTTTTCAAAGTTTACAAATTTCAATTTACACCAACCATGAACACAACTCTCGTAAAAATTAAGCAACCGTTAAAAATAATTTCCTTTTTTTTGTTCACATTGAAAAAAAAAATGCGGACGCTACACACGCTACGATGGGAAGGTTAGGGCGCGGGGGAATACGTTTATTTGTCACGCGTTGTAGAATGTTACATGTACATGTGCGTATGGAGGCCAAAGGTTCAGGATGTATTTCTGTGAGTTCATAATTCCTCCTGCGGCAGGAGAGTCTTTCTGTCCCATTGGTCCAAGGTACAATACGGGAACCTTATTGCGCTCGCCCGGCATAAATGTCATACAAATGTAAAAAAAAAAAAAAAAAAAAAAAAAAAAAAAAAAATATGCCTACGTAGATAATATGTACATATATATATGTGTACCTTATGTGCACCTGAGCACCGCGACCCATTCTACAGTTTTTCTTGGAGCTCCGCCGGGCTGCAATTAACTAAGCGAAGTCGCACCTCCCCCTGCGCGCACGTAGGTAGCACGGAGGAAAAAAACCATTAGAAGCATTTGTCATATTCCATTTTACACATGATTGGTATTTCCAGGGAGAAATATAGGAAACACTGAATGGGGAAAAGAACGCAGCAAAAAAAAAAAAAAAAAAAAAAAAAAAAATGAAAACAGGAGAAAAGGAGAAAAGGAGAAAAAGCTTTATCGGCATCTTATCTCCATTTCGATCACCACTAAGGAAAGATGACACCTCGATTTGATGATCCCATTTTGCATGTACAATTAGTACTTTCTACATCTGCCCATGTGAAGCGGATCATCGCACACATGTGTGGTAACGGAGTTTGATTCTCCAGAACGTTTTTTTTAAAAGTGTCCTACCTTCGGCTGCACATCTCTCCCGCCGCAGGTCGTCGCCACGTCCGCACACCGCCGCAACATGAGCACATATGGGACGCTGCTCAAGGTGACCTCGTTCGGAGAGAGCCACGGAAAAGCAATCGGGTGCGTAATAGATGGGTTCCTTCCAAACATTGAAATAAATTTCGAGTTGATACAAAAACAATTAAACAGGAGAAGACCAAATCAGTCCAAGCTAACGAGTAACCGAAATGAACAGGATCAATTAATTGTCCTTTCAGGTTTTCATGAAAATAAAACTTTAGGAACACCAATCACTTTCATAATTAATAATGAAGATGTGAAAAAAGAAAATTATTCCTCCTTGATAAATATTCCCAGACCCGGACATGGGGATTATACATATTTTAAAAAATATAATGTGAAAAATAAAAGTGGAAGTAGCCGTTTTTCCGGCAGAGAAACAGCTACCCGTGTGGCAGCAGGTGCTTGCATAGAGCAGTGGTTGAACAAATTTTACCAATGCACTATCGTTTGTTATGTCCACTCGGTGGGCAATATAAGGTTACCTGAACAGATCATCACAAATTTTGAACGCAACCCACCCTCGAGAGATTTAGTCGACACCTATGGGGCTGTCCAGTACGACGAAAGGAGAGGCATCTTCATCGATTTCTTCCGCAATGTGTACAACGCTGATGGGGAGTTACTTCAGGAGGGACCGTTTCCCACTGGAGAAGCCGCTCCCACACATGAACGCATAAACAGCACAGGTGAGTACACCCTGCTGCAAACCAGATGCCCTCATCCATTTACGGCAGTCCAAATATGTTCATACATTTTAAAATTAAAAGAAGCGGGGGATAGCGTAGGGGGAGTAGCCACTTGTATTGTGCATAATGTGCCTGTAGGCATTGGAGAACCTATTTTTGAAAAAATGGAAGCAGAATTGGGCAAAATTGTTCTTTCCATTCCAGCAGTGAAGGGTATCGAATTTGGTAGTGGGTTTGACGGAACCTACATGCTCGGGTCGAATCATAACGATGTGTTCACCACGTTGGATGCATCACAGGAGAGGCCTTATCAGAGGGGGTGGACTCTCACGGATCCGCTTGACAAAAAAGGGGGGGAAGAAAGTCATGTAGAGGAAGGCAATGTTTTCGAAAAAAACGACTGCCATCGATGCGACCATACGTTTAATCGACCCGACCATACGTTTAATCGACCCGACCATACGTTTAATCGATCCGACCATACGTTCACTCGATTGCGCCATCGAGTCGACGACTCGATGCGGGAAGCTTCTCCACCTAGTGACGAAAAACTACTCATCACAACAACTAACAACTGCGGAGGCATCTTAGCAGGAATAACAACAGGAAATAATATTGTCTTCAGATCGGCCATAAAGCCAGTGTCGTCCATACAAATAGAAAAGGAAACTTGTAATTTTTTTGGACAAAGGTGTAAACTCAAAGTAAAAGGAATGCATGACTGCTGCATTTTGCCCAGACTGCCCCCCATCATTGAAGCCTCCACTAGTATTGTAATCGGAGATATGATACTGCGACAAGTGGCTAAGTATGGCCATAGCAACCTTCCCTCTGTGGGGCACCTCTCCCCTTCGACGGAGTAGTAACCCCGACAAAAGTCTGTTTACGCATGCGAAAAAGAAGAAGAAAAAAAAGGAGAAAAAAATAAGCAGAAAAAAAGGAGAGAAAGAAAATAAGCAGAAAAAAAGAAGAAAAAAAAAAAAGGGGGGTGGGCTTTCCTTCTCTCATAGGTATACTCGCTCTTCAGAGCATTTATGCCTATCCATTGTACCATTCCCTTTTTTGTAAAAAAAAGTCACAAAAGGAAATAAATTTATGGCCCATGGGCAGTCTTATCCAAACTACACTCATTTGTGAACCATCGCAGTGGAATAATGTATGCACACGGCGTGAGAGAAAACAAGAAAAATAAATTAACAACAGTTACACCCCGCATCGACGGAAATAATGTTACATCCCGTTGGAAGCAGGGTGTACAAATTTGAAAATGTGGTTTAATTCGCCTAAGCCATCAAGCCATGTGTGTGTGTTTTTTTTTTTTTTATTTCCCCCCTTACAACTGTTTTACCGCATTTTATCATACTGCACGCTATCACATGTCGATTATCCTTTTTTTTTTTTTTTTTTCCCTGCCTGTGCAACAATCGAGGGGACGGATTGCCCCTTCAATTCAAGCATCCCTTTCGCTTTTCTCTTTTTTTTTTTTGTTCTGTCGAAAATTTCGAAGTCTTCTTCCCCTAGTGATGAATTATGGCATGGCAAAACATTTAAGCCAATTTGTTTACCCCCCTCATGTAACTAAGACATTTTGTCCATAATGTTGTGCAAAAAAAAAAAAAAAAAA